TGGGAAAAAAAAAACTTTTCAACAAATTCTAAAATAGTCTAACATAAATGAACAAAGATGAAAAAAGCAAAAAAAAAAAGAAAGGTAGCCATGACACACTATTATAGCTCGTGCCAGGCATAAGGAGTAGCTAGTATTATTGAAGTTTTATCAGTATTATTAAATACATGCTACTTATATTAATATAGCAATACAAACATAAAGTTTTTTTTTTAAAGCTAAATTCTTTTAATATTGATTACATTTATTTTTAAAAAATATATTTAAATATAAAACTACAGAATTAAGAGTGTGGCGACATAGCATAGTGATAGAGTTGTCGCACCTTCAAGTTTGTTGGCTATAGTATTGAGTTCGAATCCTACTGGCGACATTTCAAATAATTTACTTGTGTCATGGTAACGGCTTATTCTAAATTGGGCTGGATTTTATACCTGTAAACTAGAGCACACCAACGCCCCAAGTTGGCGCTAGAAGACATGAAAGCATTTGTGTCATTGCACAAAGAAATGCAAACTGATATAGACAGTGCAAATCTATGATAAGCCTTCCAGGATCGATGTATATTAAAGACCTACACATAGTAGCCTGAGAGAACTGAAACTGGCTTGGCAAATCCCAATTAAGGAAGTAGCAGACTGTTTTAACCAGGTGTTACCTGATACTACAAGACAGATCCGACTGGACCCCAAAAATTGGAGGAGTTGTGCAACAAAGATCTTACAGGCAAGAGGGATCTACCAACCAGGCCACCAGGTCATCTAGAGGAAAAAGTCGCATATTATGAAATTGTGGACCAAGGATTGAGAGACCTTCAGACTTAAGCCTAGAAAACTCAGGTCTGGGCAGACCAATCCTTCCGGGCTATCTGGATTGGGAGAACAATAATACCAAAAGGAGTAAGATGTGGAAAGTAATAGAATATAGTACAGGGGTTTGTGAACCTTAAAAGGGTAGAGTAGGTAATGGTAGGGGTTTAATAGTTACGCCCTAACCCCAAATACATGAATTAAGGCATGACATAAGTTACTAAAGTCTAGGTAAATACATATATGGGAATATACCACTTTGGTGGGTTTACCTTAAAGATAAATCAAGATATATGGTCCCATCCTAAGTCTGGCTGTTAATCTAGTGGTGTCACATAGATCTATATGCCCTAGTGAATGCATGGTGAGGTTGTATCTGGGTCTTAAGTCCCACATAGTAGAAGTAAGGATATGATCAGAGGGTTTAAATGGGTACCCTCCTAGTTGGGGTGCAGGTATGGCAGATAGTGTAGAAACTTCAGGTGGACTACTTAAATTAGGCACTCAAAAGGTGCACGTGTGGCTATATGTACTCTTATTGTATACCGAAATAAAACTTAATGATAATAAATCGCCGTTGACAAAGAGGTTATCTTTAATACCAAAAAATAAAAATAAAAAAATAAAACTACAGAATTTTTATTCTTTGTTGTAATTATCAGAGTCATATAATATATATCATTATTATTAAGTATATAAAGAATTTTATTAGAAAAATTTAAAAGACTACTTTTCTCTTTATTATCAATAATGCTTTGACTTTTTTCTTCATATCAACAATGCTTTGACTTTCCTCTTCATTATCAACAATGCTTTGACTTTCCTCTTTTTGATTATTTAAACTAATATTACATGTTTCTTAAAGATCTTTAACTAATATAGATCTTTCTAATTTACAAAGAATTCTAGTATTCCAATATATATAAACAAGTTTTTTTGCCTTCTAAGTTAGCATTCGATTACGCAACTTACATTAGCAAATTTAATAGAGCGTAATATTGCACAATAATTTACAAAGCATAAGAAAACCATAATATTATGTAATAACTTTTGCAATATTGCGATATATAATTACGAAATATTACGTAAGATAATTACGCAATATTATGCAAGAAATAATGCAATTTTACACAATATAATTCAAAATAATTCAAAACAGATTGAGATAAATTAATGTGAACAATTAAGTACAAAATAATTCGAAATAATTCAAATTATATTAAAAATATTAAAAAAAATTAAAAATAATTTAAATTAAAGAGCTAAAATTTTTAAATAACAAAATTCAAAAATAAAACAAATTCAGATAAATTACTATGAACTATTAGCACAAAATAATTTGAAATAATTTGAATTGTATTAAGGTTGTTTAAATAAATTAAAAATATTTAAAGTTAAAGCGCTAAAATTTTTAAACACGATATTGAAAAATGAAACAGATTTAGATAAATTACTATGAACTATAAGCGCAAAATAATTCGAAATAATTCGAATTATACTAAAAATGTTTGAAAAAATTAAAAATATTTAAAATTAAAGTGCTATAATTGTAAATGACAAAATTCAAAAATGAAACAGATAGAGATAAATTACTATGTACTATACGAGCTAAATAATTCGAAATAATTCGAATTATATTAAAAATGTTTGAAAAAATTAAAAATATTTGAAATAA